TATATTGAGAATGCTATCAAAAAGGAAAGGTAACTGATTTACATGGTTTTGCAAAGTTCATTTGAATACACTCTCATTAGATCATCATAATTGTAAACTGTGTGGATTAGAATTAAGCCACATTTATCATTCCCACCTTGGCACATTATCTGAAGATGTAAAATCATTTATCTGTAAGCATCTTCGAGCGTCACTAGAAGATGATGCCTGTATTTGTAAGTGTCATCTAGTAAAGGCAAGACGCAATATTACAAAAGATACTACAGCCAAACACCTGACCACCTATTTAATGCCATAGATTTATCACTAACTATAGAAAGAAGCATGAAGAATGGCTAAATTCTATTCGTAATGTAGTTTCAACATTAATTTCCACAGAGGAGGAAAGGGTGCCATCAATCACATCACTGAAACTACATTGGAAAAGATCATGCTGGGTGAGCATGATGTGGACTTTTTCATTTGTATCTGATGTTTAGGGAATCTACCAGAACCAACGAAAAATGGATGGACACTTGATAACAGTAAATATAGCATTCAGTGGGAAGATCACGAGAAAGAAAAGCAGATTCAACAAAATCTAGTTTTCCTGACTAAGGGATGCAACTGTAAAACCAGTTGCACTACAGGGCTATGTGGATGCATTAAGAGAGAGACAAGGTTAAGGAAATCAGCTACTTCTGACAAATTTTTCTTAACCACTGCATTTAACTTTCAACCTTGCTGTAGCACTAGCTAATAATTTTATTAAGCACATCATTGCTGTTTTTTGGACTTTTGATGTAAAACCTTGGAGTTTCCAGCTGAAAACCTTCAGTCCCACCCCCTTATTAAGTATGCAGAAAGTATGTTTAGCTGATTATCTCTGTAGTTGTTCATTCAATAAGTATAGACAATTATTTGTTAGTACCAAGTCACTACAAAACTCACTCTCCATATCTATTCCTTCAGCTACAGCATGCTCTCCTAATTCCCTCAATGCTGATACCAATGAATAGATAGTAGGACCACTTTTCTTCTGTACATTATCAGCTTTCTCTAGCCATTTAGTAAGACAGTCACTAAGACACCTTCCAGCTCCTCTGTGGTCAGCTTCAATGACACTTATTGTATTAACAGATAGACCAAGATAAAGACCAAGATTATGGTATCTGTCTCCTGAAAAACCATGTCTTCTGAGTAGTTGAAGTACCTCAGCAAGATCAGTAACTATTAAATAATTGTATTTAGTATAAGAAATAAGTAACTGAACATACTTTGCAGTTCATTTGTATTGTCTGCTGGTCCAGGAGAAGCCATTGAGCTAAGTTTTGCAAAAAAGGCAGGGCTCAATAACAACGCCCACGTGATCTGATCTAGACTAATTAAAGTAGGAGGGGCTAAGCCACCCTAAATTATAAAAAGCAAAGCTATTTTTATTTTTGTGATGATTCAGCTTGTAGGCTTGAACTGAGTGAGTCTGAAGTAGTCTCATCTTTTGTAAACTGATAATTCTATTTTATGTACTATTAGTGTCTATATATTTATCAGTAGTACTGGAGTAACTGATGGATCAGTGATACAATCATTGATACAAGTTATGACTGATGAGAATTACCAGCTCACTGGACCCTAACTCTAAGAAGTTAGTCTATAATTATTATTTATTTATACTACTGTATGGGTACAAAATATCACGTGGGATTAATTTTCATTATTTTTGCTGTGTGAAGTTTTAATCCAGTGAAATTCTTCATATGACCACACCTTATAGTGCTTTAAAAAGAAAACGTAAAATTAAAACACTACAAAATTGATATTTTCCCTTAATTTGTGAAAAGTTAACACCACAAATATTTGTACCAGTACAGTATCTGTTATTGTTATTACTGTTGTATGAGGAGGAAGGAGAGAGAGAGGGAGGGTAGTTCCACTTTCATGGAAAATGTAACAAAAATTTGGAATGATTGTAGAGCTTTTTTGGAAAAACCATGGGTGGCTGGGAATTTTTTCATAATTTTAGCCCATTTTAAAAAATGACTGTAATGTGGAAAATTGAAGTCAGCAAACTTTCCATACAGCATAAATGCATCAATATGTATCAGAAAATGTAATAAAAATTTGGGGTGATTTTGGAGCCATTTTTTGGAAAAATGCATGGGCTATACAGGGGCGTATCTAGGAATTTGGAAAGGGGGGTGCTGGGGTACAGAATACAGTTGGGAGGGAAATTAAGAGGCGCGCGAAGCGCGCCGCGATTTTGACCACGCCCACTTTTAAGGGTTTAAAATGGCGTTTTTCTTCATTTTTCGTCAATTACGGGTGGGGTCAAGATCATTTATATGACTGGTTCGCATACTGGTACTTTTTATCACTTTTTGAAGGACTGGAAACTGCTGAAATCATAATCAGGGTTCTAGATAACTTTAATAAGAGGCTTGGTAGTGATGCAAGAGTCCAGAACTTCCTAGTAATTTTTTCTGAGCCAAGCCATAAGGGGGGTGCTCAAGCACCCTCAGCACCCCCCCTGGATACGCCCCTGCTATAGTACAGCATTTTTTAAGAAATTGCAATTATATTTTTATTTATAACTCAATGATTCTCCTCCCTATAGTCTGAGGAGTTATTACGTGTGTATCCTCCATATATAAATTATTTTGAAGTCACTAAGGAGGCTCTCAGTTCCTGTGATCGTCAGTTCCCAAGGTTTCATGCTTTCCTTAAGTGTAATGAGTCCAAACCAGAGTGTGGCCG